TGGTGTGTGAATAAATAATTCCTGAAGAATGAAGGAAGATTAATTTTGGGAGTTCTTTGATGAACTTTGATATATGGAAAAAGCATTTATAATTTATTTTAAAAAGAAAGTAAAATATTACTAGTGAAAGATCTTAAGTTGTGTTTCTTTTTGTGTTCCTCATTTGCTTAAGTGGCTTCCCCCCTCCCCATAAAGGATATATAACAACAAATCTTGTAACATAAGGTTCTTATGTTCTTATTACATTGTCATTCTGGGAACTCAGTATCTGTTGTCAGGAGAAAGCAGATACTGATCTCAGCCAATGAAATCTCCAGAATTAGGTGTGTAGAAGTAAAAATGAATAACCCTTTACCAAATCAGAATCAGTATGGTAACCATATCATCTCATTCAACACTTTTTTTTTTTAACTTTCTTAAAAGCAAGAACTCAACAAGCCTTTAGTCTTAATGTTTAAACCATTATTGTTATTCTTTACTAGCTGTCTTTTGGAAACGTTAGTTTAAATTTTGGACCAAATTAGGGTGATTTGGCTTGGAAGATCTCAACTGTTTGGCATTATGTATCTGTACATGGCTAGTTACATTTTAGAATAGACTAGGATCTTAAGTGTAGTGCCTGCAGGGTAGACAGTTGTCTCTTATTATTTAGAAGCTGGCTTAGGCAAGAAGCTGAATTGGTACTAAAAGTCATTAATCAAACAGCTCAATGCTATGCCATGGTGATGTCTGGAGTTGAACAGAGTGTGATTTCCTTAGTATAGCAACCTTGTCATCCTCTTAGCTGGTATGGGTAATGAAGTAATTGGTCATATTCTGCTTGTAAGTACATTTGAAGTCTAAAAATCTTAAGAACAAAAGATACTGAGAACATAACTAAGAGGATATGTAAAGTTCAGTATTATTATCTGAAAGAAAACGTTCCTCCTTTGTAAAATAAGGAGCTGAATCAGATGATTCCTTAATATTCTTTCCTAATTCATTATGAGCATGGCTTTGATGTATGACAGACTTAGGTTCAACAGCTGGCTGTGTGACCTCGAGCAAGGCATAGCTTCTTTGGGTCTGCTTTTCTCAGCTGAAAAAAAAGAAAACCAACCAAAAACAGGTATAGAAGTAATACCTAACTTCCAGGATTGTAAGTACTAATTAAAAATTATGTATATAAAGCATTTGGCACAGTAGTTAGCACTGAACATTATTAGCATTCTCTATTTTCTGTTTATATTTTTACTTGAATATTTATTTGGATATAATACTTTTTAGTAAGCACTTTATGGTTTACAGAGATAATCTAGGTGAAGAATAGAATCTTGGACAATTAACAGGTGTGAACTAACTTCCCACCCAATACAGATCTTTGGCAGATGGTTATCCAAACTCTGCTTGAATATGTCCTGGAACTACAAAAAAGAAAACAAAAAATCAACAACCTTATGACGCATTGTTCATTTCTGATATATACTAGTCCAGACTTTTTCTATACATTTATACATTTTTTAAAAACAAAAATAAAACTTTTTCTATGCTACATGTTTTTTTAATGAGGTTATAACATTATCATGTTTTTCTAATGTATTTTGCCATCATTGAGTATAGGTCTGACTACAGTGTCATTTGTATTGACTATATAGAAATTCATTCTGTGACTTACCATAATTTAACCAATACCCTATTTTTTTTTTTTTTGCACATTTGTACATTTATTCATTAAACAAATTATATAGAGTGCGTTCTGTATGTCAGATGCCATTCTAGGAATTTGGTCTCAGTCTGGAACAGGATATGTGTCAGATAGTCTAAATTCTGAGTTTTTGTTTGTTTTATTTTGTTGGTTGGTTTAATGGAAACATAATAAGGAAGAAATCACCTGAGATCCAACCAGTCTACAAAAGGACCTCTCTTCAATGACATTCTCATATCTCCCTCTTTCCCTCCCTCCCTTTCTCTCCTTCCCTCTTTCTCTCTCTCTCTCCCCCATTCCGTGTGTGTGTGTGTGTGTGTGTGTGTGTGTGTACACACCTTTTACTTTTTTCTTTTGGTTACTCTGTAATAATATTACAATAGAAGTCTCCTTAGGGAGAGCCTTTACAAGTGTCCTTTACTAATCACTCAGCTAAGGTTGGGCCAGAGACCCTGCATGTTTTCAAAGCTTTGGGTGAAGACTGCCCTCAAATGATCTCTAGAAAAAATATATCCATTTGCACTTTAGTATCTGAGAGCACTGATTTCCGTAATCTCTGAGCAACACAATTTTTTTAAAACTTGCCAGTTTGGTATGTTTGCCTGATTTGTAAAGCAAATAAAAGCACCCTTTTTGACCTCTGCAGCAGCTGAAAGTGTGTCTCACAAGACCCTCTGCCCACCCTTTCCTAGTGCTTAAGCCTTCCCAAAGATGATGTGCAGCATTTCAGTAATAACGGTAAGAGATGTTACCATAGTAACCTGAAAAATGAAGAACTTGGTCTCATAGTGGGTAACAACCACATTCTACTACACCTCTTTGCTAATCCCTTGCTCTTCACAATAATGACTAAACTCAACATAGATATATTCACACTATTCTCTCTAGTCCCCCGTTTGTGTAACCTTGAAATGTTAGACTTGAAGATTGATGAAAACAGGATCATATCCTTAAGCAAGGCCTATCTTTGAAGTACTGTCTTTCTTGTGACCTCTGATGTGATGGAAAAAACCATGATCCTTATTTTACTGGTGAGTATAGGTGCTCAGAGAGGTTAAGGAAGTCACCCAGATCCAATAGCTGGTAACCTGTGATGTGAGTCTAGGTCATTAGAGTTGAAGCCCAGTGTTCTTCGGTGTACTAGTTATCCAGTATAAACATCATGTGTTTGTAGTTATAAATTCATTTAATGCATACTTAGTGAAGGGCTGTTATTGACAGGGAACAGCCCTACTGTTGAGAATTCATGTGTGAATCAGACCCTTTTTCTAAGATGAGAGGTTTGATTTATCACTTACTGAGAACATACTATATGCCAACTATACAGAGTAGTCAGAGATTAGCAGTAAGTCATAGACTCTTCCCTCAAAGAGCTTACAGTCTAGTGGATATAAGTATATATGCCATAAAAGAAAAATTGAGTGCTCAGTGATATGATGGATATTCCAAGATGGTTTTCTAAACAGGGTACATGTGTGATTATGCCCAGTATTTATTTCTTTAGCTCTTAAAAACTGCTAGATATTCCATCTGTGTCTATTATGGTGCTTTTGATAGCAAGTAATAGAAAATCCTCATAAGGAAAACTCACATAGCTGGAAGTGCAGTTGAGTCAGCTCTAGATGTGGTGATATCATAGGGTCACTGATTTCATCCAAGACTCAAGTTATTTTCATCTCAGAGCTTTCTCGTCCAGGACTGCTGAAGCCAGTCATGTGCTTTCTTGTTCAAATCCGGCAGAAGAGAGAAGTCATTCCCTGGGCATAGACTCTTAGTCCCGTTTTTTAAGGTCTGATTGAACCAAATAAGGTTATATGTATTTTTATGGACCAGTAATAGTTATCAACAGAATACCTTATGCTGATTGGCTTACACAAGATCTCTCCCCACCCCCACCCCCTGCCCTGCCCCACTCTCCTTAGATCCATGTGTAGGTTAGATATCTGGATAAAACAAATTCTGTCACAATTGAGGAAGAGATATATGGATATTGAATAGACAGTTTTCCACTAATCTTGTTTACCTAACAGGTCACCCTAAACAGTCAAATTGAGTTTATAGGGGGAATTCTTCCCATAGTTGACTCAAGCTTTAGAGAGAAAATTATTGGTAGAGCATAATTCCAATGTTCAGTTTTTATAGAATAAGACAATTAGCAGATGTTCAGAGAACTGTTCTCTGAAGAGTTGTCCTTAGGGAGATCTGAATTAGTATGCTTTCAACTGCAAGCACTAGAATACCCAACTATACTGACACAACAGATGCAGAAGAGTAATTTGTTAGGAAGTTTGGAGATTAAAAACTCCAGGTTTAAGACAGTGGCTCTGTGGTGCTTTCAAGAACTTAGCCTTGGCCGGGTGTGGTGGCTCATGCCTGTAATCCCAGCACTTTGGGAGACTGAGGCTAGAAGACTGCTTGAGTCTTGGAGTTTAAGACCGGCCTGGGCAACACAGTGAGAACCTGTCTCTACAGAAAATAAAAACATTAGCTGGGCATGGTGGTACATGTCTGTAGTTTCAGTTACTTGGGAGGCTAAGGTGTTGAGCCCAGGAGACTGAGGCTGCAGTGAGCCATGATTGCGCCACTGCATTCCAGCCTGGCTGACAGAGCAAGGCCCTGTCTTTAAAAAATAAACCAACCTAGGCTTGTTCTCTATTTCTGCTCTTTATCCTTCTCATCCTTAGGCCTATCATATCTCATGACTATGGTAACTTCAAGTATTATGTCATCACACAACTATTCAAGCCTGGATGAAAGATAGGCTTGCTGTCTATCAGGAAATATCCTTTTTCCCAGAAGCTCCCTTACTTACTTTCTCTTCCATCTTGGTCACATGCCTACTCTTGTGCCAGCCACTAACAAGGGGAGTAGATACTGTGCTTGGCTTCAACCAATCTTAGTTCAGGCTATGGCAACTTGGGGAGAAGCCCACCTTCCTTAACATAGTGCACAAGCAAAATTAGAGTTGCATAAACTTAAGAAAAAGGGGAAATGGCCATGGAAGAAAACCAATAGTGTCTGCTTAAGATCAACTTGATACTTTGTGTTCAGAGCATAAAATTATGCCTCTGTTCTATTTTAGTATCTTTATTAGGAAAGCCTTAACCTCAAGCTCAGTGTTTCTCAAACTGTGTCGTAAAGAGCTAGCTTTTTCCCCTCAATTCATCACAGACCAACACTAGGAAAATGAAATAAAAAACCCATACAGATTTAAAAATATACAAACTCAGAATTTTTTTTAGTTCAAAGGCCATAGTTTCTCTGTGAAATTGCTATAAAAATGTCTAAACCCTCACAGTTTCTGTCCTTATTCCAGCCTGGACCCGTAACAAACAGTTTGAAGACCAGGCTGAGTTCATGACCACACTTGAGAGGCACTGTTGACTCCGCTGACTCCATAAGCTGTCCCCAGCCTGCCTCACCTGCCTCTTGTCTGCTGCTCCTTTTGATTCACCCACAACACCACAACAAGGTGTTCTCTGTATCAGAATATGCCACGTATTTTGTTTTACTTCTGGGATTGACTTTATAATCTGTTCTTTCTTCCTGGAATGCCCTCCTCTAGCTGGGGAACACCTACTCATCTTTTTAGACCAGCTTAAAAGTCACCTTCCCTGTGATGTTTTCTCATGAAAAAAATATTTTTTTTAAGAGAGAGGGGTCTCCCTATGTTGCCTAGGCTGGTCTCAAACTCCTGGGCACAAGTGATCTTCCCACCTCAGCTTCCCAAAGTACTAGGATTACAGACATGAGCCATCATGCCCCCAACCTCATGCATTTTAGTTAGGTTATAGCAGTATAGTAAAAGTCCCTATGGATTGAATTATTTGCTCTCTCATCAGTGTTTTTCCTTTGACTCCTAGGTACACTTATTTTATTGGATAACAGTTTCTCGGTCAGTATCCCAGAATAGACTGAAAGTTTATTGAAGTTATAATTGTCTTATTCATCTTTATATCCCCTGTTCTTGGAACACATAGTTTGTCCCAAATAAATGCCTATTGAATTGAATCAACTCAACAATGAGAAAGCTTGTGGTTCTTTCCTTTTTACTTTCCCAGATTTTTTTTATTGTGCTTCTGCCTTCATATTTGTGTATTTCCTTATAAGAACTTACCATTTTGACAGACAGTACATTTTTCCTTCCTTTTCTATCAAATCTGGACTTACAAACAAATAAGACACAACTTTTCATTGTTGTATTCTGATCACAGGTCCCATCCTGTGGGCATCAATGTCACTATTACTGCAGGCCACATGTGGAGTTTTTGTACCCATGATTCTCTGATGTATGCCGCCCTAGCATCACACTCAAATTTCCAGCAGGAATAGATGAGCTTGTATGCAGACATATAAACTCCCAAAAGTACCTGATAGGATGCTGTTAATACATTGTAGAGATTATACAATTCAGAGACACACTGACCTAGGCTTTAATCTTTATTCACATACTGACTAGCTTTGTGACCTTGGGTAAGTTCCTTAGCCTCTCTGAGCCTGTTTCTTCTATTTTTTTTTTAAATAGGTATAGTAAGATAACATGAGGAAACAGGAGCTGCTTGATAAATGTTAGTGCCCCCTGCTGAGATAGCACACATGTGGATTGACAGGAAAGCAGGCTGAGTGCAGTCTGGGCAGCAGGACAAGTGAACCATAGAGTTAATGGGTCTGCCTGTCTCTTTAATGGGTCAGGGCCAACCTATTTGGCAGGTCTGCTAAGAAAGATGAGCTGCTTTGAAATTCTATCTTGGGCAGAGCCTTGGTTGCTTCTCCATTTCTGTGCTTCTGACTTCCCTGCTTACAGCTGGCAGAGACAGCTACTCTGGAAGCTCAGGGGTTGCATGTCTGTGGTGGAAGAATGAGCAGCTGCTGCTTGTTAAAATAGGGGGATTGGTTGGGAGGCAGGCAAGTGACAAAAGCAATATATGGAAGTCCCCAAACTCCACTGTTCAAGTGACATTGAGTCCAAATCATGTCTATGGAGTAGCCTCAATGGCATTTCTTCTCCAGACACTCTAGTGCTTTACTGATTTTTTTTCCCCTCTTAAGTTTAAAAAGGAGATAGGGTAACATTTGTTGGTCAGAGTTGATTTTAATTAGGTTAACAAAACTGACTTTCTTTAACATGCCATGCATTTTCATACCTCGGTGCCCATGCTTCTGCTGTTCTCACCACTAGAAATCCTGTTCTCCCTCTACCTGCCTTGTGAATTCAACCCCTAAACCTCAAATTAGAGGCCAGCTTTTCTTTGCATCTTTTCTTAGTGATGCCACCCTTCCTTCTAGGCTGCCACCATCTTTCAAACTTAACTTGGTTATTGTGCTTCACACACTGAATTGGCTTTGTTTTTGAGGTCTCTATCCTAACAGGGTGAAAATTTCTCTTGAGGCTCTTTGATCCCCAAGTTCTTAGCTCATAGTAGGCACTCAATAAATAATTGTTGAGTGAAAACATCTCCTCACCATATTTCATAATTTCTAAGTTCTCATAAATTTTCCTCAAGTTATCCAGCAGTGTAAAAGTCCTTATGGATTGAGTCCTTGATTAGTTCTGGAGGTTACTGAGCACCCTGGCTGTACTTTAGGGGCAATAGGAGTAATGGTAGTAAGTACTAACCCAGCAGCAGGGAAGGGGAATCAAGGAGTCATTTGGAAGCCGTAGAGTCACATTTCTTTTTTTCTTTCTCTCTCTCTTTTTTTTTTTTTCTGAGACAGAATCTTGCTCTGTCACCCAGGCTGGAGTGCAATGGCACAATTTCAGCTTACCACAGCCTCTGCCTTCCGGGTTCAAGCAATTCTCAGCCTTCTGAATAGCTGGGACTACAGATGCCCACTGCCACACTCAGCTAATTTTCATATTTTTAGTTGAAACAGGGTTTTGCCATGTTGGCCAGGCTTGTCCCAAACTCCTGACCTCAAGTGATCCACTCACCTCTGCCTCCCAAAGTGCTGGGATTACAGTTGTGAGCCACTATTCCCAGCCAACATTTCTTAGCTTAGTTTGCATACTCCAGCTTATCTCTTGGCAGCTCAAAGAAGATTCCTAGGTTCAACCAGAAGTTCCTTGAAAATTGTCAGACTTCATAGAAGTGTGGAGTTGAGAGTCACAGATCTAGTTCTTTACTTTCACTTACTGGCAAACCCCTTGGGACAGAGTATTAAGTTTGATAGACTTGGGTTCAAATCCTGGCTCTGCCACTATCTGTGGGAACTTGTTACCTCTCTGAGCCTCAGTTTCTTCCAAATCTAGAAGGAGAATAATATTTATTTTGAAAGGTTGTTGTGACAACTAACTTATAAGTATATAAAATGCCTAATCTATTTGGCACTTCATGGGTGTTTAATAGGTAGGAATTATAATTTGGAAACACTGGAGTGGGTGGGATGATGATCTGGGCAACGTATGATTACTTGTTTACTACTACCAGATCCAGATAGATGTAGGGAAAAGTCAGCTTGGAATTCAAAAAGCTGCTTTACATAGCTACTTTTGTTAAATGGATGTCAGATAAATACCTAATGATATTTGCAGTGTGACTTAATAAAGGCCTTCAGGGGTTTTCCAGTTTTCACTGTTAGGATTTTTTCTGATAATAGTCCCATACTTTCCTGCTCTGATGTGTCCTCCTCACTCAGGAGTGCTATCTGGCTGTCCCCACAGGGAGCTCGGGACCTGCCTGAGGCATTAAGGTGAATTCTGTGCTCACTTTTCCTTTCTCTCTCTGTCTGCCTCTCTCACCCTGAGTTCTTATCTCGTCCTCTGAGAGGTATGTTAAGTGCTCTGCCAGGCTTGCCTGTGCCTGGCCTGTTTTTTCTCACTGCCAGTACCTCTTGGATTCCAATTCCAAACATGGTATCCGTCTGGGGTCACCCTTTCTTCCGGTGCCAAGAGAGAACACATTCCAAATGGAACACAAGTGTGCCTCCCATGCTGGCACTCTGCATTCTGCTTGGGAAAAACAGAGAGCAAGATGTGGCTGCTTCATTCCACACTGCTGGGCTTTGCAGTCCTATAGTCCTACAATCCCTTGCGACTATTAAGGTTTTTCTGCTAAGAACCAGATTTGAAGACTGCCTAAGGAACACGGAACCAAGAGAGCTTGCCAGAGCTCTGCAGGGAGAGCCAGAGCCTTGCTGAGGGAGAGAGAAAGGGAGAGTGAGAGAGAGCGAGAAGTTTTTGAATTCTCCATGAAGTGTGCTGTGTTCCATCATTCATTCCCAAAGCCACTGGAAGCATTCCTTCCCAGGAAGGTGGAGTTGGTGATGAGAAGCCGGAGGTGAGAAGACCCCTGGGATTCATTCATTTTCTGAATTTCCTATGTGAGGACAGTATTAGAGCCAGTGAGGCTTTGAGAGGCCTCAAAGATGAGCGCCAACAGCAGCACAGTGGGCCAGCTTCTTTTGCAGGGTTCAGCATGCATTAGCTGGAAGCAGGATGTGGAAGGGGCTGTCTACCACCTAGCCAACTGCCTGTTACTCCTGGGATTCATGGGGGGCAGTGGGGTATATGGATGCTTCTATCTTTTTGGCTTCCTGAGTGCAGGATACCTGTGCTGTGTGCTGTGGGGCTGGTTCAGTGCCTGTGGCCTGGACATTGTTCTTTGGAGCTTCCTGCTGGCCTTGGTCTCCCTGCTCCAGCTGGCACACCTGGTATACCGCCTGCGTGAGGACACCCTCCCTGAGGAGTTCGACCTCCTCTACAAGGCGCTGTACCTGCCCCTGCAGGTGCCCCTACAGACATACAAGGAGATTGTTCATTGCTGTGAGGAGCAGGTCTTAACTCTGGCCACTGAACAGACCTATGCCATGGAGGGCGAGACACCCATCAACCGCCTGTCCCTGCTGCTCTCTGGCCGGTAAGCTACTCTGCACTGCCCAGAATTTCTTTCTCCAGCCCACACTTATCATTTCCTAGTGTGGCCCTTTCCATTTCATGTCCCTTTCCATTGAGGGAAGGATGTGACAAGTCAAGCAAACCAAAATAGATTATTCTAAGAGTGGGGTTGCTTCCTCTTTCTTGGTATTTTCCAAGAAGAAACCAGTTCATGAGGCATCTTCTTGGTTGCCCAGAATGATTGCATGTGCACTTGCTGCTGGAAGGTGTGCAGTGAGTGAGTTTTGAGCCTGGGCCATAATAACCCCTCTACCACCACCACACACATATCAGTGTGTGATGCCTAAGCTGCAGCAATCTCTGTAAGCTCTGGAAAACTAACATTTCAGTAAGATTAATCTGTTCCGTATTCAAATTCAACATTTGCTAACCACCACCTATGTTCAGGGAACAATGCCAGAAATGGGAGGTCAGAGTAGGGGAGTGGTTCTCATACACCCTGTTCCCTGCCAAGACATCAAGGAAACAGCCCGACTTGTGTTTGGGATACCTGTATGCAGCCAGTAGGGAGAGTGAATACCCCTTGCCCACCTTTCCATTTCCAGTTGTTCTGTTGAGGTTCTTGCAGACCAAGACGCCAAGTCCAGTACTGTAAATCTGAGGGCCCAACAGAGGGAGAAGGGAAGTGATGCTCACACCTATCTCATTAAGGCTTTTGTGGAAGCACTGCCTCTTTCGGAGAAGGCTGACAGTCAGATATGGGCAGAAATAGTTTTCGTCAGGATCAGTGTCTGCCAAGTCAACCTGGATGTGAATGTTGGCCATTGATATCTTCTGAGAAAATATCACGGGGCTCTGTGCTGCACACTTGGTAGGCAATTATAGATTTTTTGATACTGCCCTAGTGGCCCTTGAGCCCCAGAACCCCTACTCCACCAGCTTTCTTGAGACCAGAAGAATGTGGTAGAAAAGGCAAGATGGGAATCAGAAAGCTTCAATTCCAAGAAAAAGCAAATCAAATCCAGATAATATTGCCAATCACACGATGGGGACAAAGTTTGACGATGATGCTAACGGTACTACCACTGCCACTAATAGTAATAATACACATTTATGTATTCGTTTTTAGAGCCCGAAGTATCATGTGTATATGTTTTGATTTTGTTTGAACTCAGAGGTCCTGGATTGAGTGAGCTGAGGGGAGACATTTCATTTATGGGTGAACTGAAAGTGTAAACCAATGTGATTGTTTGCAAACAAATATAGGTGTAAATACAAATACATATAACTACTGCAAAAATGTTTGCCACCTATCGTTCCATGCTTAAAGACAATTTACAATTTAGAGAACTTTTTCATTCGTGAGACCCATGATGTTATTTGCCCCTTGTAGCTCATCTGTTCAAAGGAGGAAATTAAGACTAGCGGAAGTGCTCCCTCCAGTGAAGGGTGCTCATTTGCTGGAAGCATGTACGGTTACTGTAGAGTTCAGGTAGGATAGATTTGCTGTGAACTTCCATAAGAACACTTTCCTGTGAAGGGGAGATGGGGCTTGCCCCTCAGTTAATCTTTCCTGGTATGCTTAGCATCAAAAGGCTGAGTTAGAAATTGGACAATTTTGATTTTTTTTTTTCTTGCCTTTCAAGGTTTGGAGTAAGGGTTTTGTTATCTTTCAATGTCACCCTGTCTCGGCTTTGCTGAGCTGGACATAGGGGAAAAGGCTTCTAGTCTATGACTGGGCTCTAGTTTTAAAGGAGAATCGCTGAATCTTGGGCTGGTTACAGTGAAGGACAAAACACCTCAAAGCAGCAGACAAGAACTTTGTGCCAGGGAGTGGGGACTCTTGTGCAGACTTCCCCATCTCACATGCACACTTCTCTAGAGTCCTTTGCTCACACCTCAGAAGTCTTTTTATTTTAATAAAAGAAACCAATCTTTCAAAACTCAGGGAAGCAAAGTGACTTCCTCAAAGTCTGTTACCCTGTTAAGCACTGCTTCCTGGTAGACGGTTTCTCTCATATAAAATTCAAAACACAAACTTCCATATACACAACCCCCTGAGTAGGCAACTATCTAAGCTATTCGTATAGGAGAAAATCATTCATCATCCAGTTGATCAAGAAGGAAGAAGAGACAAATGATAAAGGGCACAGCATTCCAATTTAAATGGCTTCGGCGAGCCACAAAGACTCATTAGACGTTATTTGTACTCTACGGTTGTCATGCCTGGGTGGCTGGCACCCTTGCCTGAGGATTTGATGTTGTCACACCTGGGTGGCTTGCCTGGGTGGCTGGCACCCTTGCCTGAGGATTTGATGTTGTCACACCTGGGTGGCTTGCCTGGGTGGCTGGCACCCTTGCCTGAGGATTTGATGCTGTCACACCTGGGTGGCTTGCCTGGGTGGCTGGCACCCTTGCCTGAGGATTTGATGTTGTCACACCTGGGTGGCTTGCCTGGGTGGCTGGCACCCTTGCCTGAGGATTTGATGTTGTCACACCTGGGTGGCTTGCCTGGGTGGCTGGCACCCTTGCCTGAGGATTTGATGCTGTCACACCTGGGTGGCTTGCCTGGGTGGCTGGCACCCTTGCCTGAGGATTTGATGCTGTCACACTTGGGTGGCTTGCCTGGGTGGCTGGCACCCTTGCCTGAGGATTTGATGTTGTCACACCTGGGTGGCTTGCCTGGGTGGCTGGCACCCTTGCCTGAGGATTTGATGTTGTCACACCTGGGTGGCTTGCCTGGGTGGCTGGCACCCTTGCCTGAGGATTTGATGCTGTCACACTTGGGTGGCTTGCCTGGGTGGCTGGCACCCTTGCCTGAGGATTTGATGTTGTCACACCTGGGTGGCTTGCCTGGGTGGCTGGCACCCTTGCCTGAGGATTTGATGCTGTCACACTTGGGTGGCTTGCCTGGGTGGCTGGCACCCTTGCCTGAGGATTTGATGTTGTCACACCTGGGTGGCTGGCACCCTTGCCTGAGGATTTGATGTTGTCACACCTGGGTGGCTTGCCTGGGTGGCTGGCACCCTTGCCTGAGGATTTGATGTTGTCACACCTGGGTGGCTTGCCTGGGTGGCTGGCACCCTTGCCTGAGGATTTGATGCTGTCACACTTGGGTGGCTTGCCTGGGTGGCTGGCACCCTTGCCTGAGGATTTGATGTTGTCACACCTGGGTGGCTTGCCTGGGTGGCTGGCACCCTTGCCTGAGGATTTGATGTTGTCACACCTGGGTGGCTTGCCTGGGTGGCTGGCACCCTTGCCTGAGGATTTGATGCTGTCACACTTGGGTGGCTTGCCTGGGTGGCTGGCACCCTTGCCTGAGGATTTGATGTTGTCACACCTGGGTGGCTTGCCTGGGTGGCTGGCACCCTTGCCTGAGGATTTGATGCTGTCACACTTGGGTGGCTTGCCTGGGTGGCTGGCACCCTTGCCTGAGGATTTGATGTTGTCACACCTGGGTGGCTTGCCTGGGTGGCTGGCACCCTTGCCTGAGGATTTGATGTTGTCACACCTGGGTGGCTTGCCTGGGTGGCTGGCATCCTTGCCTGAGGATTTGATGTTTGCTGCAGCGGCGCCATTCTCTTCTGCTGTCTTCCTTTCCTAGGAGAGCTGTTCAGTGAGGTTTTGATCCCCTTTTATGGTGACACAAGTGAATTTTTTCCTTGGTTACCTTTGTTCATTTGTTCATCCTTTCTTTTTTCCTTCCTTCTTTCCTTTTTTTCCCCCTTCCATACATATTTATTCAGAGTGTGATGGATTAGAGATGCAGTGTTTAATATGAAAAATATTGTCCTGCACTTACGGAGCTTACAGTCTATCAAGAAAGTCTGTAGTTAATGTTTGTGGTAATGATTGGTACAGTGAGTGTTTCCACAGAGAAGTGCCAAATGCAAGAGGAGCATGTAACTTATGGATCTAACTTTTCTTTTCTTTTTCTTTTTCTTTTTTTTTTTTTTGAGACGGAGTTTTTCGTTCCTGTTACCCAGGCTGGAGTGCAGTGGCGCGATCTCGGCTCACCACAACCTCCGCCTCCTGGGTTCAGGCAATTCTCCTGCCTCGGCCTCCCCAGTAGCTGGGATTACAGGCGCTTGCCACCATGCCCAGCTAATTTTTTGTATTTTTAGTAGAGACAGGGTTTCACCATGTTGACCAGGATGGTCTTGATCTCATGACCTCGTGATCCACCCACCTCGGCCTCCCAAAGTGCTGGGATTACAGGCTTGAGCCACTGCGCCCAGCCTGGATCTAACTTTTCTGGGGAGGTCAGAGAAGTCTTCCTGAAAGAACGAATGTATAGGCTGAGACCTGAGGAGAAGAGGTCCAGTTAGAGACAAAATATGTGAAGACCCCAATGTGAGAGAACATGGCATTTCATTTTTACTCAGGGAAGTTCTGCCAGGTACTCTCTCTATATATTACCTGATCTTGTAAGGGCAAGTGTGTTCGTATCATCAGAAGCTATGGGCCAACTCCAGCCTTAGCTTGGTTTTGAGACCTATATCCCCTCCTGTCTTCCAGCTTTAGGCTGTCAGATAATAGGTACAAAGATTATATAAGAGAACACTTGTAAAGTGTCTAGCAGAGTCTGGCATATAGTGGACTTCCACTTCCTTCGAAGACTAGAAAGTGGTTAAATGTAAGAATGGATCTTCATGTAGCTACTAGGAAGGCAGAAAGGAGAATCTGTGGAGCAGCACCGATTTTTAATTGGTGATGGTCTTTGGTAATCTGTATACGTAGACATTTATTAAGAGCAAGGCTCAGGAGCGCTGATAATCCCATTATCAAGGACTTATCACATGGCAATGGTTAGCAGCGAGGGAAGTAGGGAAATGTTGATTTTTACTCTGCAGTGCCATGTCCAGTTACAATCTGAACCATTAAGGAAGAGAAGAAAGCAGATACTGGAGAACAGATTGCCACACTAGATTTCCCAGATCTTTGTTCATCCCCATCTTTATCTGCTTCTCAATACCCTTTGCATTCCTCAAAATTCAGCTCAAATGTCATTTCCTTCAAGAAGTCTGCTGCCCAAAGAGAACCCATCTCTTTCCCTCCTCTGTTACTGTTCCACAATAGCACCTTCACATTGACTTGCAGCTAGTTATTTATGTGACTGTGACTTCCACTAAATTGCAAAATCCTCAAAAACAAAGACCAGATTATACCCATCTTTGCATTCCCAGATCTCCAGGAACATAGGAGATGCTCAATGAATATTTGTTTAGCCAATAAACCTCCAGAAATAATGGAAGGATAGCTCCCCCAAATGGACAGGGTGTACCTTGGAGATCGTTTTCATCTTCCCCCTTTGCCTAACGGAGGCCCCATTGCCTGATATAACTCACTTTAGAAGAAAGTTTAAAGACAGACCTCCGAGTTTTCTGGGCAGGGGTTGGGGGACGGGGGAGGATAAAGCCTATGCTGGATTCTAATTTTTTCCAGATGTGATATCACATCTGAAATACACTCCCTGTCCCCAGGCATCATCAATGATATGCCATCAGTTCTAACAAGTTCTCACAGAATGCAGTCCCCCTATCCTGCAGGGGCAAAGCACTAGGCTAGGTATAACCACAAGGGTACAAAGGCAGCAAGCAGCAATAGTGAGGCTCCTCACTCCTTAAGTTGTGAAACCAAGCCTGTGGTCATGGGCAAGTCGAGAGCAGTTGTTTAACCTATTGGTAGTATGGGATAAGAATATTCATAAAATTAAAGCAAATATATTAATTAGGATTTCTGACTAAAGCCACAGAAACCAGCTCCAGCTACCTGAAGCAGGGAGGGTAGTCTTTATTTAAAAATGTAAAAGGATTTCTCATGAAACGCAAGGAAAGACATGCACCTGAGCCTCAGGTAGTACTAGAAACAAGGACGTGTCCTACTAGGACATTTTCTGTGATTTCAAGTTTCTTTTCTCTACAGCCGATTGGGACCTATTCTTTTTCAAAGTCTGAGTTACATGATGAAAAAATTTTTTTAAGTTTCTTCAAGGAGGAGTGTGTTAGTTTTGTTAATGCCTGTAATCCAAGGCATGATTTACAGTCAATTCCATTTCCAAATTCCCAGAGAAGGAATTTGATTGGCTTAGCTTGAGTTAGGTGTTCACCCTGGGACCATCAACTGGATAGGGTGTGTGGGATCTCATTGTCTAAAGAAACAAGCTGTTATTGTCACCTATAATTAGAGAGGTCAGGGAAGGGGTCATGCTAGGGGAGTCCACTACCTACCTGAAGCTCTGGTAATAGGGTGGCAACAGGGTGTTGTGCTAAGAACATAGAATTTTAGTTCTGCCACTTGATCGCTATGTAACCCTTAGCTTGCCACTCAACCCTTCTGAGCACCAGTTTCCTTAGCTATAAAATACAGAAAAGAATAATCTACCTTGAGGTATTGTGAAGATTACATAAGAGAACACTTGTAAAGCATCTAGCAGAGTCTGGCCTATAGTAGACTTCCACTTCCTTTAAAGTTTACAAAGTGGTTAAATGTAAGCATGGATCCTCATGCAGCTACTGGGAAGGGAGAAAGGAGAATCTGTGGAGCAGCACAACCAACAGAACTTTCTGTGATGATAGAAACATTCTAGATCTATGTTGTACAACATTGTAGCCACAGGCCATATGTGGCTATTGAGCATCTATAATGTAATTAGGTGAGGAACTGAATCTTTAAATTTATTTAATTTTAACTAATATAAATGTTGTAAACTTAAATAGGCAGCAGAGTTTGTTTTTGTTTTTTGAGACAGTTTCCCTCTCTCACCCAGGCTGGAGTGAAGTGGTGTGATCTTGGCTCACTACAACCTCTGCCTCCAGGGTTCAAGTGATTCTCCTGCCTCAGCTTCCTGAGGCACTGGGATTACAAGCACCCACCACCATTCCCAGCTAATTTTTAAATTTTTGGTAGAGGTGGGGTTTCACTATGTTGGCCAGGCTGGTCTGGAACTCCTAACCTCAGGTGACCCACCCACCTCAGCCTCCCAAAGTGCTGCCCTGCCAGCAGCAGAGTTCTTCAGCAGTCGTTTCCATCCTGGCTACACATTAGAAACACTAGGGAGATGTAAATACTAATAACATCCAGACCCTACCTAGAGGGATTCTTGTTTAACTGCTCTGGGATAAGGCCCAAGCCTAGGTGCTTTTTTTTTTTTTTTTTTAAGATGGAGTCTCGCTCTGTCGCCATGTTGGAGTGCAGTGGCACAATCTTGGCTCACTGCAACCTTCGCCTCCTGAGTTCTAGCAATTCTCCTGCTTCAGCCTCCTGGGTAACTGGGACTACAGGCATGTGCCACCACACCCAGCTAATTTTTGTATTTTTAGTAGAGACAGGGTTTCACCATGTTGGCCAGGATGGTCTTGATCTCCTGACCTCGGGATCCGCCTGCCTCAGCGTCCCAAAGTGCTGGGATTACAGGCGTGAGCCACTGCGCCTGGTGCCTAGGTCATTTTTTAAAAGCTTCCCTGGGGCTTCTACTCTGCAGCCTGAAGGGAGAAGGAGGAGGAAAATGAGGATTCAGGAAGTCTCAATGTGTTCCTCCTCTGAACTGCTTGCATGCAGTAATTAAACTAGTCTAGTTTGGGTTTTACCATGATTTTGGCAAAGTATTTCTACATGAAGATTCATGCTAATCAGTGACACATAACTTCAGCACAGGCAACTTGGGAAGCCATTTTTCTTTTCCCACATGACCTCTTCTCTTCTTTTGCCAGGGTTCGTGTGAGCCAGGATGGGCAGTTTCTGCACTACATCTTTCCATATCAGTTCATGGACTCTCCTGAGTGGGAATCACTACAGCCTTCTGAGGATGGGGTGTTCCAGGTAACAGGGAGCCCCGTGGCAGCACTGCCTCACTGCGTCTCACTGCAGCCCAGCAATATCCGTGCCTCCATGTTTCCCCTCTCACGTCTGTCCTTCACACCACTGCCAGCATGAAGCTACAGGTGGGGGCACTCTTCCTCAGTGGAAAGAGTGCCTGGGCTCCTAGCCACAGGTGAGGTAGGGGAGGCAAATGCTGGCTCCTGGGTAGACCGTGTTACCTGTATGCTTAAAGTCTCTGGAAGACCCTAGTGCCACGAGATAAAAACCCACATTCCTTACAGGTAACAAACCTTTTAGTGATCTCCAGCCACATTTCCAGCTCTCCCTCCTTCATAGCCATGCCGAACCACTAGTAGTATTTCCCTAAACACACCACATTGGCTTGCACCTCTATTCTTGCCGTCTACTCTCCCCTCTACCTGAAACGCATTTCCCCTTCTAGATGAGACCATGGCACCTCACTTCCTCTGTGAAGCTTGTCCAGATTGATCTCACCAGTTTCCACCCCACAGCCTCGTGCTCCTGTGTGCCTGTTTTAGTCCTGTTACTTATGCTAACTGTTGCACATCTTGCTCTCTGCTCTAACAATCTGGTCTCCTTTCTGTCTTCTGCATAGTGAACTCTTTGAAGTAAAAATCAAGGCTTTTCCCTGTCTGTCCCCAGAGTCTAAAGAAAAGTACCTGGAGCACAGTAGCTCTTCAGTAAAGAATTGCTGGACTGGTTTGCCACTAGGAAGCTGGTGTCCCAGAGGACTCCATGGGGCATTCACATATATGCTCCAATGCGGGTGCCTGGCTGCCTGGCCCCTACTCTTATCTTTGCCAATCCCTCAGACTTTGGTCACTTCCTCTATAGCTCTCACTTATTGAATGACTAGCATGTGGCAGGCACTACATGTCATATCACCTCATTGATTCTCACAACTCTATGGGTTGAATATGATTATTACCACATTTAACAACTGAGGAAACTAAGGCCCCAAAACATCAAGTAATTTGCCCAGTGTCTTCAGCTAGAAAGTAGCAAAGCCAGGTTGCCTGGATCTACCATTTCTGTTCTTTATCAAAATGGGAGGATCACCAGAAGAGTAGAGTTTACACACACACACTCACGCACACACACATGAACACACTCACTCGACCTTTTAAGGACTCCCCTGCCTGGGTAGTTTGCTGGAACTGGAAACACTGGGTTCCATGTGTCGCCTACTACTATTATCAGGGAGTCCCTCAAGCCAACATATGAGCCAGCCCCGGAACAGACACACACTAGGCATTGCCACCTGGCAGGGCCTGCTTCCGCCCCCACCCTGACACTTGGCTCTGTGATGATGGAGCTTGAGAGGAAGTCTTGATCCCACTTCCAGGGTCACCAGCCACAGATCCCCTTCCATCATGTTCCTTCCCTGACCTCCCTCCACACACCCTCTCTAACTAGCCCAGAAACCTCCTTCAGGAACTCCCTCAGGCACATGAGAACCTCCAGCAGGGCTGAGTCAGGTCCTGAGCCAGCTGGACCAGGACTCTTTCTGACACTGACATGGAAGAACAGGTGGTGGGTAAGCCGGGTGTCCTCCCCTGAATTACGCTCAAGAGGCAGGGCTGTAACCCCACATGGCCTCTCAGCCTGGAATGTAGGAATGGTCATATTTCTCCCATTTATATTTTTAGTGTGCATCTCCTTTGGGAGCAATGAGAGCCACACATTTGCTATTGGCTGTGTAAAGTCCCATTTCCTCTTTGCAAATGTCAAGTGTTATCCTAAGTTAGAGTTCATCCTGTCCTTGCTATTTGCAATTACATAGTCTTTGTTGACTAAGAGAACAATCTACAATGACAGCCTAAATTATAATTCACATTATCCTTAGTACAAATCAGTCAGCCTTCCACCAGACCTCTCAACTATTCAGTTAAATCAGAATTCGTTGTGTGTTCAGCACTGTGACACTCGTTAGTCATCAAGAACACAGCTCAGAAGGGATTACACAGAAATCTTCACTGTTTTTCTAATTTGCATCCTGTCTTACTGGACCCAAGTCCTATTTACATATGTTATCTCATTTATTTCATTCAACTCACATCTGAGGTGGGTATTAAAAAAAAAGCTAAATAGTTGTCAAACTTTACAACAGTCATATCTGTATATATGGGAGAACCAATCAAGAAGCAGATTTCAGGAGGACCTTTGAGGAAGGATTTTATACAGGACATGAGAAAGTGACATTAGGGGCCGGTGCGGTGGCTCACACCTGTAATCCCAGCACTTTGGGAGGCCAAGGCAGGTGGATCATGAGGTCAGGAGTTTGAGACCAGCCTGGCCAACATGGTGAAACCCCATCTCTACTAAAAATACAAAAATTTGCCAGGTGTGGTGGCAGGTACCTATAATCCCAGCTACTTGGGAGGCTGAGGCAGGAGAATTGCTTGAATCCAGGAGGCAGAGGTTGCAGTGAGCTGAGATAACACCACTACATTCCAGCCTGGGTATGCTGGACTGCAGACTCCATCTCAAGAGCAAGACTCCATCTCGGGAAAAAAAAAAAAAAGCAAGTGACATTAGGTTGTTTTGCAACATATAAGATTGGCCATCTTCCCTTGATTCATTTATTCATTTCGGTAATATTTATTGAAAACTTAGTATATACCAGGCACTGTTAAAAGGACCTGAAATATATCAGTGATCAGAACAGATGAAGGTCCGTCCCCTCATTCAATTTATATTCTAGGGGGGGAAACAAAAGAGGAAGGGGATGGAATGGCCGGAGAGAAAGTTGTAGAGATGATAAGGCACCAAGATCATAAGGCCACAGGATATATTGTCTTGATATATCCAAAAGGATTTTCTAAAGGGTTGGATAAAGTATGTAAGAGAAGGAAGATCAAGGAAGACTAAGGCTTTTGACCTAAGCAACTGGATGGATGGTGCTGCTATCAACTGAGATAAAGAAAGCTGCAGGCAGAGTTGCTCTGGGGGGACTAGGAAGGTCAGTGTTTGATGTTAGGTTTGCGTCATCTGTGGAAATTTGAATGGAGATGCTGCATAGGCAATTGGATATTTAAGTCTGGAATTCAGGAATGAGATCTGGGCCTGTGACATAAATTTGGGAGTTGGTTATATACAGATGGTATTTAAAGCCATTGGGTTGCATGAGATCACCAAGAGAGTGCGTGTGGATGGAAGAGGGGATGGTTCAAGAGCAGAGCCCTGGGATACTTTAGTGGTAGGAAGTTGGAGAGAAAAGGAGGAAGCAGCAAAGGAACTTGAAAAGGAACAATCGTGAGATTGGATCGTGAGTATATGGCATCCTGGGAACTAAGTGAAGAAAATGTATCAAAGAGGAAGGGGAAATGGATGGGGTTGGATGCCATGAAAACTGACCATCAGACTCAGCAGCTTAGAGGTCATTGGTGACCTTAACAGGAGCAGTGTTTGTAAACTCCTAGGGACAAAGCCTTATTGGTTTAAGAGTGAGAAGGGAGGAATTGGAGATAGTAAGTATAAACAGGCTTTTGTTTTTGTTTTTTAATGAGTTTTGCTAAAAAGGGAAGCAAATTAGTGGAGTGATAGCTAGTCGGGGAAGTGAGGTCAAGAAATAGAATTTTTATTTGTAAAATTTTGTTTTATTTTGAGATGGAAGAAGTTACAGCATATTTATAAGAATGCCCATAGTCTTTGGGTTTGACTTTAAGGACATTATTGACATTCAGCTTAGCTCTTGCTCAAACACACCTGCTTCATGCTGGGTACTCTGATTTCTTGTTTGGGAATTAATCATAAGTACATCTAAGGTAAAGGCTATGGCAGATTGTGACAACTACTTGCTGAACTATTAGTAATGGACAGATTGTATTATTTTATTTCTTATGAGGCAAGAGAGATTAAGTAATTTATTTGACATCACACAACTGTTAGAGGTAAAGCTGAAACATGAAACCACCTCCTGGCCTCCATAATGTAGTTTAGGGCCTGATTGCAGTGCTAACAATTAGTGGGGAGAAGTTGAGAGGAGGAAATGAATAAAGGAACTGGAGGAGCGGCATAGCAGAAAGGAAGGAAGAGAAGAGGAGAGTAGTGGGAGATCCGGCAGGCAATGCAGGAATGAAAAGGATTATATATAATCTCTAATAAAGAATCTTCGGAAAGCTGCCCTACCTTCAATTTGACAATTCATATGAAGTACTTAACACAATGCCTGTCAGAGTCACTGCTTGACAAATGTTAGGGGCTAACATCATCATCATTGTCATTTCCACTGTCTCCATCCATAAAAATATATCATGAACTCTGCCAGCCTAAAGTATCAGGGTCAATTAGATTATTAAAAATTGTGTGATTCTGCACCCTTTTCCTGTACTGTCCTAAGCATGTTTCTGTTTTTTTGTTTTTTGGTTTTTTTTTTGAGACACACTTTCACTCTTGTTACCCAGGCTGGAGTGCAATGGCACGATCTCGGCTCACCGCAACCTCCGCATCCTGGGTTCAGGCAATTCTCCTACCTCAGCCTCCTGAGTAGCTGGGACTACAGGCACGCACCCCATGCCCAGCTAATTTTTGTATTTTTAGTAGTGACGGGGTTTCACCATGTTGATGAGAATGGTCTCCATCTCTTGACCTAGTGATCCACCTGCCTCGGCCTCCCAAAGTGCTGGGATTATAGGCGTGAGCCACCACGCCCAGCCGCATGTTTCTGTTTTAACCCCAGCTTTACCACTGGTCATTATTACAATAGGATTTATCAAGTACCTACTGCATACTGCATGCCAGACACATGTTACTGCTTATTTCCCATGCAAGCATAATTTTGCTTTGCATCATGGGTGCATAGTGAGTGCTCAGAAATTCCTAGATGAATAATCAGATGGAGAATGGGGTCCTCTTTGATTTTTCTGCCCTTTAGAGTTTGTCTTCCTCTGTGCCCTTTTTCTGATGTCATTCATCAGATTCTTTTGGTTACTTGAAGTGGCCAAGTTAAGAGCGATTTTGAGGACCTGAATCCCAGGCCAGTGCTTCATCCACATGATGTAGCTTGGCATACCTTATCAGAAGCTTTTTCTCAGACTGAACTTTCCAACTCGTTTTGTGTCCCTATCCCAATATCTTATCCTTCCTCATTCTTAAAATGAGAAGTCATCAGCATTTCAACCACTCTTCAGAGCACCAGAAGTCCCCTTCTTTCTCTATCTCAAAACCACAAAACTCAGAATCCTCTGAAGTCCTTAGTGGTATTAGCCACAGAACCACATAATTGGAGATGAGGAAACTCGATATGGAAACTGAGGCTCTAGGAGGTGATGGGTGAGTGAGTGAATGGCTGACCCCAGGGCTCCTAACACAGGAAACCCCATATCAGTGTACACAAGTGAAAGTCATCCACTGGACCTCATCCACTGGACCTCAAGGCAAGGCTATGGAGAGGTACTCCCACACAGCTTCTACAGTAAAAGTACAACTGTTTGCCAAGCGACTATGTGATTCTGTGCTCAGCAGGGACAAATTTTCCAGTTTAAACTTTTACTATCTGCTTCTGTCCCCCTCAGGTCACTCTGACTGCTGAGACCTCATGTAGCTACATTTCCTGGCCCAGGAAAAGTCTCCACCTTCTTCTGACCAAAGAGCGATACATCTCCTGCCTCTTCTCGGCTCTGCTGGGCTACGACATCTCGGAGAAGCTCTACACTCTCAATGACAAGCTCTTTGCTAAGTTTGGGCTGCGCTTTGACATCCGCCTTCCCAGCCTCTACCACGTCCTGGGTCCCATTGCCGCAGATGCAGGACCAGAGTCTGAGAAGGGTGATGAAGAAGTCTGTGAGCCATCTGTGTCCCCTCCTCAGGCCACGCCCACATCTCTCCAGCAGACACCCCCTTGTTCTCCCCCTCCAGCTGCCACCAGCCTTCCTGCACCTCCTTCCCGGGCCAGGATGTCCAGGCCCGATAGTGGCATCCTGGGTGAGGACTCCACCAGTCTGGTGCTGGAGGATTTTGAGGAGGTGTCAGGATCAGAATCGTTTATGGATTATAGGAGTGATGGGGAGTACATGAGGTGAAGGGAGAACTAACATGGGCACAGCCACCGGCTCAGGATCCTATGTAAGTACTCAGCAGGCAGCTGCCGCACATTCCTGTCAACGGCTGGCCTTAACTCACCTTGTTAGGGAAAAAAACAAAAAACTGCTCCTGGAACATCTCCTCTTAGAGGACTCACAGAATGTGGCATTAACCCAACTTTGCAGACAGCAACTCACTCCGGGTGCATGCAAGGCATGAAGTGATTTTAAAAACTCATTCATTATTAACTGTGGTTGCATTTTGGAAAGTGGGGTAGTTGATACGTTGAGCAGGAAGGTAGATTGCTAAGTTTTTTTGCAAGTTTGTTCTAATAGCTGAGGTCACAGCTAGGGCTAAAAGGGCTTGTATTTGTGGCATGCATTTGAAAAGAAAAAGAATGTGCTAGGATTCTAATTCCTATTCCTTGTCTTCCTGGCATAGAGTCAGTCCTGGAAAGCAGTTGTTATTTAGCCTAGACTGGGCAGGTATCTCTGTTAAAATTGCATAGTTTAAAGAGGCTTGTGCTTATGGACTAATAGCTCTGGGAGGAAAATGTCCTCATCTTGCTTTCCTCTCATCCAGTGAAGAATGTGTTTGTTGACCACACAGACAGAGTACTAGATACTGCTGGGATTAACTGTTACTGTGATCAGATAGTAATATGGCAGCCTGGCTTTCCCCGGTCACCCACATCTATGGGAGGTAGGATGTGTATAAATCCTGGAGGGCCTAACAGTGCGTACAGGATTTTCCTCACAGAATTTCCCTCCTCAGAGAGACTGCAAGAAAGGCTGTGCTCAGTGGTTCTGGGAAATTGCTCTCATGTTCCCCCTGCCGCCCTCACAATGCTGTAACATTTTCCCTGGAACTCCATCCAACCATGATGTAGGCCTGAATTTCCCGAGGAAAATCTCATTGTTCCCAATTTAGAAGGCACTTCTAAGTGAGGGGGCCCCTAAGAGACCCACCATTCTTTAGAAAGCACCAGTAAATTGCCTGAGAAACTAGCCCAGTAAGGAAGGCCTCCAGAGTACATGAAATGAATGAGTGAATGTTTGTATTTTCTGAAAAACAGGTTATTTAAATGATGAAAGAGGCAACAGAGGTGGCTGATGAAAGGTTAGAGATTTGGTTTTGTAGACATGGAATTTACAGCCCTCTGTGTTACCAGTGTCCTTAGATAGTTCAGCTGATTCTGAGGTAATTCCAAGGAGAGTCTAACATCCCAGATCACTTTTTTGAATTCCTCCAAGTTTGCAGTGGCCGCTCTGATCACTCCTTTCCCTTTGTGCAGCTGTTCACCTTCCTACTGGTTCATCCTGCATCCACGCATGCTCTTTATGCCGTATGGATTCCTTTGTCCAACTTGCCTGTCTACCTATACACTCTCTCTTCAGCTCACAGCAGCTGCTTTCTCATGTTGTTCTTCCTGGTTTTCTTCTCTTTTCTTGGTTCTATTTTTCTCTTCTTTCTTCTCTGATTTCTTCTCAGTCCTTGATTGCCTCCGTTTGCTGTTCTTTCCTCCCCTTCTTTTGTTTCTTGAGACAGGGTCTCACTCTGTCACCCAGGATGGAGTGCAGTGGCACAATGTTGGCTCACTGCAGCCTCTACCATCAAAAGCTCAAGTGATCCTCCCACCTCAGCCTCCTAAATAATGGGAATTACAGCCACATGTCACTTTGCCTGGATAATGTTTAATTTTTTTTTTTTTTGAGACAGAGTTTTTCTCTTGTTACCCAGGCTGGAGTGCAATGGCGCGATCTCGGCTCACCGCAACCTCCGCCTCCTGGGTTCAGGCAATTCTCCGCCTCCTGGGTTCAGGCAATTCTCCTGCCTCAGCCTCCCGAGTAGCTGGGATTACAGGCACGCACCACCATGCCCAGCTAATTTTTTGTATTTTTAGTAGAGACGGGGTTTTACCATGTTGACCAGGATGGTCTTGATCTCTTGACTTCATGATCCACCGCCTCAGCCTCCCAAAGTGCTGGGATTACAGGCATGAGCCACCACACCCGGCTTTTTTTTTTTTTTTTTTTTTTTAAATAGAGACAAGGTTTCCCCATGTTGCCCAGGTTGTTCTTAAACTCCTGGGCTCAAATGACCCTCCTGTTCAGTCTACCAAAGTGCTAGGATTACAGCCATGAGTAACCACACCTGGTCAGTTTGCTGCTCTTAAGTGTCCCTTTTCTTTGTCTTCTCAGTTCATTTCTCCCTCTTGTCTTTTGTTTTCTTCCACTTTATTGTTCATCTATTTATCTCTCCTATTACCTCCTTTATTCTTTTCTTACTTTTTTTTTGCCTTGCTCTATCTATTCTTCCTCATAAACACTTGTACCCCCAACTTATTAATTTTCAATCCTAACTCTTCCAAAGATCTTTTGGAAAGATCTTTAATCCTAACTCTTCCAAAGTACTTTTCCCTCTGCCTATAAAGAGAACTATTCAAGTGAAGTTGTAAAAATCCGTGGCTTTAGGAATGTTTTCCGAACATCAGGAGGCAGGCAGCATGGTACATGAAAAGAGACCAGGACTGGGAGCCCGAAGTCCTGGCTTCTATGTCTGGCTTTGCTACTAATCTCTTGACCTCGTGATCCAGCCGCCTCGGCCTCCCAAAGTGCTGGGATTACAGGCGTGCGCCACCGTGCCCAGCTGCTACTAATGTCATAGGTGACTTTTTGCAAACCATACAACCTCACTAAACCTTACTTTCTTCATTTGAGCATGTTGGACCAGCTATCCCCAGGAACGCTCTTGGATTGATCTGAGAAGGCAAGGATAAGTTTTTCAAAGGAAGCAATCAGTCTGCAGTTCAGTGTACATAAGCACCAGGACGTCTGAGTGTCCTTCAGCAAGAACTCTCTGCGATATTTCACTATGATTTCTCTGGCACTTTGGGACTCTTTCCCTTCCTTGTGGTGGTGGATCTTGCTTACTAGAAATTCCCTCCATTCTGTGCCTGTAAAGAATCTATCACCTACCATGTGATTACAGTGCAGATACTTTACGAGAGAGAAGATCACAGCTCAGTCCCCAGGCCCTCAACCCTGAATACATAGTATCATATGAAATACCTCTTTTCAAATTCGACCATTTCTAAAATGCAAGATGAGAAAACTGCTGATGACACCCACTTTCTAAAATACTGGAATTTGCAATATGGAGAGAGTAGGTTTTTCATGTTTCTTTGTTTAAGCAATAGAGAGAAAGGAAAATTCTGTTGTTTACTTTTCAGGCCATAGAGGTTTTCAGAACAACTTGAAAACAGGATCAAATTAGCCAAACTTCTGACAATTTTCAATGTAGTCTGTGATAATGGGATAATTTAACCTCAGTTCTTTTTCAGGAATTGTGTTTTGGATGTTTGGTCTGACTTATTTACCATCAAACTTGTTATAAGGTTGTTACTCTAATGAATAAGCATATTCCCTTATGATTGGGAGCAGTTTACTATTGTTTATTTCATAAAGTAGGGCACCCTTCACTACCTATTTCCTAGCTCGTTAGTTATCAAAATTTTAAGCTCATTGCTGTTCATCCCAGCACAGCACTTACATAACAGGCACGAAATTGACTGAATTCTGCATCATTAGGAATGATGTGGCCTCATCACAGTGACACCAGTGCTTGTCTCTCATACTAATCCAAGTTAAGACCAACTAAAAATAGTCAGAGTTCCCCCTGGAGCTCCTTTTTGAAGAGACATATTTTTTAGTCTGGTGGTACCCAAAATTGACCCAAAAAATTGGGTACTGCTTCTCTTAACAGGCAAAATCTGTGCTGCAGGATCATGTATTCATGCAGGGCCTTCCAGCCAGACCCCAAATTACCCCTGCCTTCACTAGAATTTTTCTGTTGAATTCTATGGCCACTCTCCACAGGGGTCCATTCTGTGTCTTACTTACAGGAGATACGCAGTAAATGAGGGGCTTTTCTTCTAGAAATGCAGCTCTGAGGTAGTCTGTTGAGAGAAATAATGAATCCATTATCACAGACTAAATTGAAAACTGTCTGACATTTGGATGATTTTTGTTTTGTTTCAATTGTCCTGAAAACTCTGTGGCTTGGAAAGTAAAAACTATACTGTTTCTTTTCTCCCTATTAGTTAAATAAACAAATGATGAGCAGATTACAAAACGGGGGACACTTGAGGCAAGGGAAGGAGCCCCTGGACAGGAGGACGAGGACACAGTACCATGGGCCAGAGAAGTGACGCAATAAGCATTTACTATTTAGTGTGTATTTCAGGCCGGGTTCTAGGTAATCATGTGATAAATAGTTGAAAGAATTGGAAATATTTAATCTGCAAGAAAAGGGCAAGTATAATATCCTCAAATTTTAAAAAGAATGTGAATTAGAATTTGACTTAATTTGGTGTAGTTCTTGTGGGCAGAAATTGAATTGAATAGGATGAATGTTATAAGAAGGATTTTAGCTTATTATTAATACTGGATTGCTTATGGGATAGTGAGAGTTACTCGTCACTGGGAGAGTTCAAGCAGGGCCAGAAGAAACCTCAGAGATTTTATAAGATGATTCAGGCTCTGGGAAAAGGATGCCTTGGAGTATTGCTGTTAGGGTAACTTCTAATAGGATTCTGTGGTTCTAAGATCTGAACTCTAGTCTGGCCACTTACCTGCCATCAAAAACAGGTTCCTTATCTGCAGGACAGGACCAGGATGGCTCTGTCTACCTTACCAGGTTGCGGTGAGGGATGATTGAGATAAAATACATAAAGGCTGTTTTTAGGCTGTGAAGCATTAGTTAAATGTGTAGCGTATTTTAAAATTCTATTGTATGTACAATTGTTTATCAGTCTCTCTCTTTCTCTTTCTTTTATCAGAGATAGATGATTTTCCCTCTTATTTCCCTGTTTGGCCTTTCAGGGAAGGCAGCAGCTGGCAGAATGCCCTGACAACAAAAGAAACAGCAAAAAATGGAGGCCTAAAGAAAGCATGTGCTAGCTCCTCACACCTCAGTCCTCTCTCCTTCCTCTGTTTGGGAGGAGGCAGATTAGAGTCACACTGTCCCCAGGCTCTTCCCCTCAGAAGCAGCTGTAAGGTACTTGGTAGCTGTCAGTGCTAGCAAACGGAGCTTTTCTCACAGAACTACTGGAAAGAGTCCAGGCACAGAAAACTTGCTCCTGAAAGTGGCATGGCCAAAGCACGGGTCTCTAGAGGGTCATGCCACCTCTACCTGCCACAGGTGCTGTTGCCAGTCAGATAAGTTAGAGGCAGCAGTTCCCCAGCTGCCCTCTGAATCCCAGCAGCCGAGTTATGCTTCCACTTCTGTCTTACAGGCTTCATTTTCCTACCCCTCTTTCTGTAAAAATGGAAGTCAGGAGTCTTATGAAACTTACCACTATTCAATACAGGTTTTTGGGTTTCTTTAATTAGATAGGGTTAAGTAAGAAGTAGAGTTCTATAGAATGTTCATAGGAAGCAACAAAAGTTGATCCTTGGTCTCTACAGCAGGAGAGGATTGGGCTAGATACCTTCCAAGCTGACTTGCCCTGATATTCTAGTATGAAACGATTCAAAGGTACAGCTGCTCCTATCATGTCAGGCAGTGAGTACAGCTAAAACATTGGGAATTGGTAGAGGAAAAGAAAAAACTGAAAAGAACCCTTTGAAGTTAGGCAAACTGTCTGGAGACATAGTGCTAAAATCCTCCCTCTTTTTCTTTCCACAGCTTCTAGAATTCCTCTTCAGAGCTGCTCTCAAGTTATATCCAGGGGACAGGCCCCTTTGGCTCCAACCCACACGCCTGAACTTTAAGGATCATTGGACTACCTTCTTCTCTGTGGCCAGCACAGCTCTCTCTGTGTTCACAGAATGGTCACTGATAGGCACGCCTCTTTCCCCACCCACTGGAAGGCTCCCGGGCAAGGTGAGAGATGACACAGAAGGTGCCAACACTGTCGCTACAGCAAGGGCCCTGGGTGACTTTGAGAAATTCACCTTCACAAGCCTTCCTTCAGGAGCAGGCATTGGAAATGCAGATGCACAGAATCCATCCTTTACCAGCTGCAGAGTCTTGGGCAAGTTACATAGCCACCGTGAGCCTCATCTGAAACAGTGGGGTTATGAAACTCACCTCACTGTGTTGTTGCGAGGGTCTCATGAGTTGATTTAGGTAAGCACCTAGGACATGGTGTGGCATCAAGTAAGCAGTCAATAAATCACTCAACTCCTTTTCCTGTGTTGTTTCTTTGCATTGTCTGAAAGGATCAGTGGAGTCAAAGATCCAACTTTTCACTGGTGGTTATTTTTTATTTTTCAATTAAGATTCAAATTTATGGAAGTGGAATTTTAAAAACCTAGCTTTCCCTTAGGCTTTGACATTCAACTTACAAATCTCTTTTTTCTATTGATGAACCTAGTACTAAACAATAGTTTTTAGAGGGACTTTTACAAACTTAGTTAATTAGGTTTTCTTAAACATCTTAAAGTAGGTTTATAAATTTAACATATTCTATTTTTCTTTTTCCCTAAATACTTCAACATATATTTCAGTTTTCTCTGTATAATACTGATCCCTAAAATAGTGACTTAAAATAGTCCCATTAATTTGTTGTGCTCATGAATGTGGGACCTGACTGGGCTCAGCTAGGCAGTCCTCACTCAGGGTTTCTCATGCGGTTTCAGTCAGATAGTGGCTCAGGCTGGATTCATCTCTGAGGCTTCTTCACTCACCTGTCTGGGAAGACTCAAACAGCTGAGGGCTGGAACAGCTGGGAATCCTTGGGCATCTCTCCCTCTCAATAGTTGTTTCATTTTTGTTGTTGTGTGCTCTGTTGTATGAATATGCCACAATTTATTTATCCAATTTACAATTGATGGACATTTGGATAGTTTCCAGCTTGGGACGATTACAAACAGTGCTGCTATGAACATTGTTGTCCGTGTCTTTTGGTATACATATGTGTACATTTCTTGGATGTGTACCTAGGAATGGAATTACTCAGGCACTGGGTATGTAAGTACACCAATTTTTCTAAGTGATTATACCAGTTTACATTTCCACTAGCACTCTATGAGAGTTCCAGTTGCTTCTCATTCTCAGCAATAGTTGGCATTGTCTTTTATTATTATTATTTTAGTTATTTGGGCATGTTTAGCAGCATTTTTATTTTCCTGGTGGGTTGAGTACCCTTTCTTTCTTTTCTTCTTCTTCATTATTATTATTATTTTTGGCCATATGGATATCTTCTATTGTGAAGTATCTATTCTTGTTTCTTGTCCATTTCTTTACTTATTTGTATATTCTTTCTTTTCTTTTTTTTTAGACAGGGTCTGGCTCTGTTGCCAAGGCTGGAGTGCAGGGGTGCAATGTCAGCTCACTGTAACCTCTGCCTTCTATGTTCAAGTGATTCTTATGCCTCAGCTACCCAAGTAGCTGGGATTACAGGTGCACACCACCACACCCAGCTAATTTTTGTATTTTTAGCAGAGATGCGGTTTCACTCTATTGGCCAGGCTGGTCTTGAACTCCTGGCCTCAAGTAATCCACCTACCTCAGCCTCCCAAAGTGCTGGGATTACAGGCGTGAGCCACTGTGCCCGGCCAGTATGATTTTTGTTATTGACTTAAAGGAATTATTCAAATAATCAGGTTAAAAGTCCTTCTGTTACTTATTAAGATTCTATATATTTATATATGAGAGAGATTTTATATATATATATATTTTTACATAGAGATATATATTTATATTCTTCTAGTTTTGTGAATTGTTTTTCTCTAAATGGTATATTTTGATGAAAATCGTTTTTAATTTCAATGTAGTAGTTTATCAATCTTTCCATTTCTTATTAGTGCTTTCTGTGTCATGTTTAAGAAATCTTTTCCTTTCCTAAAGATATTCTCCCACTTATCTTCTAGATTTCTTATTGTTTTACATTTCAAAGTGAGACCTACAGTCAACCTGGATTTAGTTTTTGTATATATGACAAACGGCCAAGTTTCATTATTTTCCATGTGGGTATCCAACTGACTGAGCACTCCTTATTGAAATGATTATCCTACCCCTACTAGTGTTCAGCTTATCCTTTGTGACAAATCAAATGTTCCTATAGAGATAAGTCTATTTCTGAGTTTTCTATTGTTTGCTTGTTCTGTTTTTCTATCCTTTGGCAGTACTATCTGGTTGTAATTATTTTAGCTTTATAATAAGTTTTGATATCTGGTAGTCTTCGAACTTTGTTCTTCAACTCCATTATAATCTTCTGGGACCATCATACTTGGTTTATTGTTTACCAAAATGTCATGATATTGTGCATGCCTGTATATTCTGAATTCAACTCACCATCCCTACTGCCACTACTAATTTCGAGCCACCACTACTTTATTCTAAATTAACTTAAATGGACTTATAACTGGTCTCTTGACTCCTCCAGTTCTCGTAACTTACACACAGTAAAGAGGTCATTTAAACATGTACAAGATCTTATCACTCTTAGCTCAAAATTTGAAATGATTTCCTATCCCACTTAGAATAAAATCCAGACTTCTTACCTATGTGATATTAGACAAGATTTACTTATTATTACTTAAAACCATAAAGTTTTATTTCTCTCTTACTCAAAGTCTATTAAGAGTCTCTGTGCCTCATAATGGCAACTGTTCTTCATATGCAACTCAGTGATTCAGCCAACTGATCATCGGATTCTGTCATCTGATGGAAGGAATAGAAGACAGAGCCTGATGGTTAATTTTTAACTATCCACACCGAAGGAACAGGACTTGGTAGTCCTTTGCTAGCTCTTCTGTGCTATGGCCCAGAAGTGATGCAAGTCACTTCTGCTCATAGTCCACTGGCTAGAAATAATCACATGGACCCACCTAACAATCAACTTGGGCTTTGTGGATTAAAGGGGCTGGGAAATGTGGGAGAACAAATGGAATATTTGATGAGTACTACTCCTCTAGCCACTTATGACCACAGGGTCTCACCTGCCTGTTCCTCCCACTACATTTCATTCTGTTCTTATTCACATTCATGGTGCTCCCGCCATGCTAGATTTTTGCTGTTTGTCAGGCATACCTAGCTCCTTTCTATATTAGAGTCTTTGCAGTTGTTCTTTCATCTAGAATGCTCTTTCTTTTTTTCTTTTTTGAGATGGAGTTTCGCTCTTGTTACCCAGGCTGGAGTGCAATGGCACAATCTCGGCTCACCGCAACCTCCGCCTCCTGGGTTCAGGCAATTCTCCTGCCTCAGCCTCCTGAGTAGCTGGGATTACAGGCACGCGCCACCATGCCCAGCTGATTTTTTGTATTTTTAGTAGAGACGGGGTTTCACCATGTTGACCAGGATGGTCTTGATCTCTTGACCTCGTGATCCACCCACCTCGGCCTCCCAAAGTGCTGGGATTACAGGCTTGAGCCACCGCGCCTGGCTAGAATGCTCTTTCATACCTTCTCTTGGCTGGCTGCTTCTGCTCATTCAGTTCTCAGCTCAAGTGGGTTCTTAGGCCCAGCCAAGATACCTACCTCACCTCACCGTCACTCTGTCCTATTGCCCTGCTTGCACTTTCAAGAACCCTATTTTCTCTTTCTTCTCCTTTTAAGATTCCAATTATGTGCTTGGTAGAACTTTTCCTTGTGTGCCATATGGCTCTTACATTCTTTTCTCATTTCTCTAAAATTATATTGCATATTTATTCTGTCTTTTCCATGTACATTTCACAATAGAAGGTGTTTGTCAATCTTGAGAGATTCAATAGCTTTCTTGTCAACCCTAGAGGACCATTGTGGAGAGTAACTGAAGCAATAAACAAACAAAAAATACACTGGGCCAGGCGTGGTGGTACAACAAACATTGTGCTTTTAATATCTAATGGCATATGTCATCCTAGCTCTTTGGGAGACTGAGGCGGGTGGATCACTTGAAGTCAGGAATTCGAGACCAGCCTGACCAACATGATGAAACCCATCTCTACCAAAAAAATACAAAATTTAGCTGGGTGCTGTGGCAGGTGCCTATAATCCCAGCTACTTGAGAGGCTGAGGCAGGAGAATTGCTTGAACAACCTGCGAGCCAGAGGTTGCAGTGAGCTGAGATCGTGCTGTTGCACTCCAGTCTGGGCAACAGAGCAAGACTCCATCTCAAAAAAAAAGTACACCGTATACTGTAAATTGAGATTCAACATTACCTGGATGTGGTGCCACTCCCCAGCCTGGAGCATCTCCAAGGCTGGGCTGTCATTACACACCTATTACATATAACAGTGGTTTCTCAAGATGAGGACCTCTTTTAATCCCTTTTCCCCACCAAAGAATCAGACTTTACATTGTAGAAGTTGTGATTTTATTATCTAATGGTTTATGTAAGGCATAAAACATTTGGATTACAATAATATTTTTAGATAAATATGTAGGTTTTAAAAATTAACCACAAGACTTTTTATATATTTGAAAAATAGCATTACATATATGTATAAAGCATTTTGTTTTATATAGTCTGCAGGGATGCTTGACATGACGTGGATTTGTGGACCTCTTATATTAACTCCACACTAGAGGTCTACACATGTGTAAAGAAAATCTGTAGGTTATAACTTAATATGTTCAGCAATAAAGTCTGATAGGCAGTCAGTCATATTTGCTCTAACAAGAAGACAGCAAATGTTCTTTTATCTCATGAATACTTACTGAATATCCACTGCTGTCAAACCCCATACTGGAGACTACGTACTTCATGTGACTCATTCTTATTCTCTGCCCTCAAAGAGCTCAAGATCTAGAAAGGAGACATATGAATAATAGGCTCCCTTCCTTCCTCACCAAGGCCTTACTGAGTCAAGCTCCCTGGACCTGACTCCTCTGACGATTAATCTTTTCCCAGAAGATTCCTCAGTCTCTTGTGTAAATAGGTGTCTTGTGGCTCATACATGGTTGAAAGTGAAACTGGACACCTGACACCTACACAGATAAACACTCTGCCAGTCAGCTGTGGAAAGCATGACATGAATGGTTGAAACCACTACCTGAGCTCCAGAAGTTCAGCAAATGTTACTTCCTAGATCTCAGATGTGCTGAGATCAGGAAGGGTTCATGGAGACGTTGCCTTTGAGCTGTGCCTTGCAAGACAAGTTTGGAAAGGCAGAAGCAGTCCAGGTGGAAGAAAAGAGTCTTGGTGACCAGCTATGGAATCTGAGCTCTAGTCAAAAGACAAAGTGAAGCCAGCAGGGAAATGGT